TAGCGTTCCCCTGTGGCCGAGTGTTCACTGGAGTGCGAGTGACAAATGGGCGAAGGTTCAGTCCAGAAAAATGAAATGCGAACAACGGTTAGGAACTAGAATGAGATCCGGTTTCAGAGGAAGTGCACGAATTATGTGACAACATTGGTTATTGTAGAAATTCCTATCGGCTGGGAAGCAATGCGATGGTGATGGTGATGGTGATGATGATGATGATGATGATGATGATGATGATGATGATGATGATAATGATGATGATGACGACGACGACGACGACGACGACGATGATGATGATGATTCGACGACGATGATGATGATGACGATGATGATAATGAAGATGATGACGATGATGATGATAATCGAACCGGCATCAAAATGACCGAACGACCCTTTCCGGCCATCAGGAATCACGCAGATGACACAGATCACCCCCTACATCGCCAAAATTTCTCAGTCTTAGCAAGTACTCCCTACCAGCAGCAGTTCCTCATTGTGGAGAGTAAACTTACATCCACGTGGAATTCGTGTCGAACAAATTGCAAATAGAATGACGAAGGGAGGAACATATTCGTGTGTTTTCTTGTTCTTCCCTTCGTTGTTCTGTTTGTACATACAGCCATACATACACCAATATTCGGTAACAAAGAAGTGTCAATATCACTCTTAGTTTATTTGTTTGTTTTTTAAACCCATTAACTGTATGTAGTGCCTATTTGCTTGTTAGTTTAATATTTTATTCATTTTATTTCGTTCTGTTTTATTCTATATCCACATTTTTTTTCATTTTAACAGTATTCTTCTTTTCCACTAGTCACTTTTAATTTGGCTAAGTTTTACTTATTTTAGTTTTATTTCGTACTTGTGTTATTGTTTTCAGTTTTTCGCCGAATAAATATGACGGTCCCATCACCCCCGGCGTGGCTCTTCTCGGCGCGGCTCCTCCTCCCATGTAGTGAACCCATCACTAATAACTACATTAAAGATAATAATGACCATGGTAATAATAATGAGAAGAAGGGTGATGGTATTAATTATAGTAATGAGGACAACAATAATAATAATCATAATTATCATATAGATTATGATAATGATGAGAACAGCAACGGTTGTAAAAACAACATTAGTTATAATAGCCATGACGACGATGATGATGACTACGATGACCACGATGACGATGATTATGAGGATGAATACGATGATGATAGTAACAGTAATGGTGATAATGATACTATTAATATCGATAACAGTAGTAATAATAATGCAAACAACGATGATATCGACTAGGGTACGAATGAAGGCCGATTCACACTATATGTAATGTGACCGACACGTACCGGGACCGACAGAATATGGTTAAATGGTATTGCTGCATTCACACTACAGCGGACCTGCACCTCACCAGCACGAACCTGCACCAATAGTTACTGAGCCGTGTTTGACAGGGAAACGTTCAGGTCCGAAACCTATATGTGTTGAATAGCGTAAACACGGGGCCGGCGGCGATACTTAACGTGACCAACAGCCGATGAGCCAACGGACATCTCGCTCCCGATCAATATGGATGAGGAAAGTTAATTACGCTGCTACATCACCATGAGTGCTTTTCTGTCTCAGAGGCGCTACATCGACAACGCAAAGAGTATTTGGACAGATATAGACGAAGCATTTCAACGAGCAGGTAAATGACTTTGCTGTATATTTGTTTTTGTTTTTTTGTAAAGCATAGGCTAAAATGTATAGAGTAGAAATACATGCATTTCCCACATTGATGGACATATCCTCCATAATATTTATAACACCATGCATATATAAATATAATGTATGTATCTCTACACAAATTGATAAAGTGGAAATGAAATTACTTTGAAACTGCATCATGCCTATGGTACATGTACTCGTGTAGGAGGCTACACAGCAAAACATATTTTGAAGCAAAGTAAATTATTACACTGAATAACACGTTGAACGCAGCAGTACAGCCTCAGTGGAAAGTAAAAATATTAGCCGTAACATAATCATTGATAATGGATATAATTTCAAATGTTTTCATAAGTGTGGTTTGGAGAATATAGTATTTTCAAATGCATTCTTCTGAAAATAAGATTAAAAGAATGTAAGAACAGGGGAGGAGGAAGGGGGAAAGACCTCGGGGTAGGAAGGTGAAAGAAAGAAGCAAGCCATGATTGAAACTTCGTTATTCATCACCAGTTATATTGTCAACATGTAATTCATTTGAAGGAGTTATTGAAAACTTACTGTACTGGAGTTCGAGTCCTGAATTGTTCTTTGAAAGTGTATTTGCAGAGATTCCATTCGGCAAATGTTCTTTGGTTTCGTTATTGTCAACAGAAATTAATATAAAATGCTTGTCAACATTCATTTACTGATCCTTACTACTATATATTCGTTTACATCAAAAAGCTTCTGAAGTAAGCTAATGCTATTACATCATCTCAGTAAGCGTTCTATACCATAAGTATACTTGCATTGATATATATCCGATGTAATGTAAACAAGGCAATAAGATTAAACAATCAGTTTCAAATATCTTTATTTTACTTTTTTTTTACTTTTTTTGTTTTTACTTTATTTTTATCTTTTCATATATCTTTATTTGATCTTTATTTATTCATATATCTTTATTTTATTATCCTATTATCCTGCCATTCCAAGTATCAATCATCTGCCGACTCTGACATCACATCCTGCCGATCAGACATCACACCTAACCGATTCCGTCATTAATACGTCATCACAGCATCATAGGGTACTGGATTTACAGAAAGCATTACTCGTAGCAATACTTTGTAACTTCAATATAACACCCTGTTACCCTGAGGCCTATGCTAAAAATATTGACTTTTTCATTGTACATACATTTCATGTCTACTGTGATCTTAGTTTATTAATTTTGTTTACACGTAGGTAGCTATAAAATCATAAAATCAAAAAAATATAATAGATGCTGACAGCATTAGAAAAATCAGGTGAGGACTCCTTGGTGGCAGAGCACTTCTGAGAGCTATTGTGTAACCGTTAGTAAAAGCCTATCATTATTATTATTATTACTATTATTATTATTATTATTATTATCATTATTATTATTATTA